TTTAAAAAATGAAGTTTCCACACTCACCAAATTTTTCAAAGGAATAAGAATTGCGACCATCATTATTAAAAATTAAAATAATAATCTCTTTTAAACTAATATACCACTATAGATTTATAATTATAGTTTTTATAATTAAATTTAAAATCTAAAAGCCCCCTTTAGGGAAAGTATAATACCTATTTATTTTAATATTGATTCCTAAAGAAACCTATAATTGGTCGATTTTAATTATTCAATTTAATTATATAAATAATATTTTTTAATTAATAAATAAAAAGTAAAAAAGAAAAAAAGAAAAAAAAAAAAAGTTTATAATATTTAATAAATAAAAAATTAAATAAAAAATAAGAATTTGAGAGAAATTATTATACAATGAAACTCACACAAAAATAATCATGATTATTTTAAATTAATTAAAAAATATTATTTAAATAATTAAATCAAAATTTATGAAATGACTTTTCAATTCAAGATGGTAATACAAATTTAAATAAACATACATTTATAAATTTAAAAATTAAAAAAAAATAACCTAATTGTAAAATACAATTAAATTTTTATTAAAAAGATAAAATCTATGTTTTATTAGTAAATATTTATAAAACTAAATTTTAAATTTTAATAATATATATTAACATTCATATTTATTTTTTATATTTTTTATATAGAATCTATTTCATTAATGAACCCAGTTAAAGGTGCCTCATCTAAATTAATGTTAAGCTCATCTGGAAGTGTCTCATTCTCTGATAATAATTCTGCTTGGTTTGGCAATAGCTTAGGTGGTGGAAATTCATGTGGTTTCATTCCATGTTTTAATCCATGCAGTGGTGGTAACACTAACATTATCAATATTGATATCGATATTGGTCATCGTCGTAGAAGATGCTGTTAAATTTAGTCGAAATAAATAATATTTATATATATATTTTTAATAACACTTATAAAAAAATTTTATTTAATTTTATTTTCTTTGTATTTTTTAATTGATTCCATCATCATATTTATCGAAATTGGGTAAATAGATGATGGTCAAACCATTTATTTTTTCCTTTTTTTTTTTTTAAATCTAATTTAATTTTATAACTAATTTTAATTTTGACTGATTTTTTAATTTTTAATTTTCTGAGTCTCTATCAGCTCTTCTGCATTTACTTTGATTGAACATCAATGTATACAGCTCACTTTGCATATAATATTCTCCTGGTGATATTCTTTCGCCATCTGATTCTTTGTTTTTAATTTTTTCAATTTTAATACCACTACATGTATTAACTGATTTCTCTTAATAGTTTTTCTAAATCTTTAATATTTGAATACTTGAGACATTTCATTATAACTTCTTTGGTAATCTTTGGGTAGTCCGCTCTTTTTGAAATAAAGATTGAATGCTAATGCTACTGTTGTTGTATAATTATTACTATTACAATTGTTTAAACTGAATGATGATGATGATGATTATGAAGCTGCTGTTGTGTTATTATTGATATTGATATTATAAGGTTCTATGATATTTACTCGATATTTTAATAGTAATTATAATGATTTAATCGATGATTTTGAAAAACTTTTATTATTATTTGTGCAGTTTGGTATTTTCATTGATAGGAAATACTCCAATGCTTCTATATTATCTAAAGAGTATGCACATTCTACTAAATCAAACATGTGTAGCTGTTCTTTTTTTCTTTTCGTATAATAAACTAATTAAATTTATATCTCTATTAGTACCTAAAAAAAGCTTAATATCTCTAGATTTTATAAATATATTCATCTGTCTGTATTATAATTTATAATTTAAAGTGTTATTACATATGTTTACTTTATAACAATAACCAAATAGTCGAAATGTTATTACCACTTACTAAAAAATATCATTGTTTAAAACCATTTGAACTATCTCTAATTTCTAATACACACAATATTTTATTTTTATTATTTGATTTCAATATCTTTAAATCTGAAACTATTGGTCCAATAAAATCGATATCTAAAAATAAAATGAAAAATTAATAAATTTAATTTAATTTTGTAAATAAATAGGTTTATTATCATTTAAATATGTGTATAAACTTACTTTTTTATTCAGCAACTCTTAACTGATAGACAGAAGGTAATGCAAAACTTTTGTGTAACTATCACTTCCCCAAAGAATAATGAAATTGTATAACTGAAATTCCATTTGTAATTATGTGTAATTATATACCTTAAATGATGTGTCCTTGTATTTCACTTAATATATATAGCTTTTTTTTTTTTATGATATTTTGCTAATTACTTACTTTAAGTTTTTATATATTATCAAAATTTTTTTATTATTATTTTTGATGGGATTTTTTATTTTTATTAAAACTATTTATGTAAATGTTTTCATAGATATTTGAAAAAAAATATTATAAATTTTAAAATATATATAAAAAAAATTATTTATTTGTATTTAAATTTTTAATTTAAAAATTTTCAAATTTTTAATAATAAAAAAAAAATCGTTTAAAAATTAAAATACCATAAATTAAAAAAAAAAACTAAAAGATAGTTTATAAAAAGAATAAAAATTAATATATTTCCATGTAGTGGTTAAGGCATACTGAGAGATGCAGTATAGATTATTAACCACTACGGGGTGTTTAGTTTAGGCATGGTAGGCTCTAATATAACTAACCTCCCCATGGTATTTTTTTTTTATAAAAACAAAGGCAAAAAGTATAAAATAAATAAATAAATAAATTAATGGTATTTATACCATTTCATTATCATTAAAAATTTATTATAAAATCATTTTTTTTCTTTAATTTTTTGGGGATTATTTTTTTTTTTTTTTAAAAGTTTAATTACACTTATTTATTTATTTTATTTTATTTTATTTTTTTAAGGTTTATTTACACCTATTTTTATTATTTTATTAAATTATTGAGTTGTTAATCTGACTGAATTCAATTAGTCAGATTTTTAAATAATAATAAATAAAAAATAAATTTTATTTGAAAATATTTCATATTTATTTGTATATTTTTAATTTTATAGAAGTTATTTTATTATTAGTAAAGGGTGTATATTTATTTGGTCTGCAATATTGAATTGGATTCTTTTGTTAATATGAGTTGAAATAAAATTAATATTTTATTTAATTTATTTATTTTTTTTTTATTTTTTTTTTATTTTTTTTTTATACTATTAGCCACTCTTTGAAAAGAGTGTTTCCAGCTCAACCACGGGGAGGTTAGTATATTTGAGCCACAGCTAACTATTATACTGCCACGCACAGTATAATAATTAGCCCTTGGTTTGGTAATCTCAGAATACAGATTAATATACCAAACCAGCCTTGATACTTCACACTTGAATAATAATATAAAAAGGAAAAATAGGAAAGTTTAAATGATAATGGGTTGTAAAAAATATAAGATATAAAAAAGATTATGTGATTATAATTTTGAAAGCTATTATTTTTTAATTTATAATTTTTTTAAAAAATATAAAAGAACTGTTTTTTTTGAAATTTAAAAAAGTTGTATTTCATTTTTTCTTTATATTTATTTAAAATTGAACACTTTAATTAAATTTAATATTTTAAATAAAAATTTTATTGAATTCTCTAAAGAATGATATATTAAACACCAAAGTAACTTTTTCATTTCTAAAAAGTATTGATCAATATTAATAAAAATAAAAATAGAAAAAATACATTGTAATATTTAATAAAAAAAAAAATAATAGAGATTGATAATTATATAATAAATGTGTTATTGTATGTTAAAATTTTGATTTAAAGAAAAAATATTACAATGAAAATTTTTATTAATTTAAAAAAAGAGTGAATTTTTTATAATTTAAAAATTTTAAGTATTTTAAATAAATTTAAATAGAAATAAAGTAGATTTTGAATCTTCAGGTTTTTCATACTAATAATGCCTTGATGCTCATTAAAATAAGTTTTAATATATGTATTTATATTGTATCTGTGAAAAAAAAAAAAAAACACATAAAAAAAATTTTATTTAATTTTCTTTGTATTTTTAAATAGATTCCATATCATCACATTTATCGAAACTGGGAAAATTGATGATGGTCAAACGATTTATTTTTTCCTTTTATTTATTTTTTTATTTAAACCAATAATCTAATTTAATTTTGTATCTAATTTTGATTGCTTTCAAACCAATAATTAAAAATATATACACAAATTTATTTTATTTATCTTTCTTTATCTTTTTCTTTTGAAATTGATCTTTTTCTTTCTTTTTTTCTATCTTTGGATCTTGACCTTTCTCTGTCTCTATCCCTATTTCTGTCCCTATCCCTATCTCTGTCTCTATGTTTTTCTCTTTCTTTTTCCTCCTTTTTCCTTTTTTTTTTCTTTTTCTTTTCTCTTTCTTCTTTCATTAGTTGCTATATTATCTATTTATTTATTTGTTTAAACCAATAATATGTTGACCTCTTAGGATGTGTAATTTTTTTTATTTTTTCAATTTCTGATTTGAGTTTAGTATTTTCATTTTTTAATGTGTTTAAATGTTGTCATTTCGTCAAACTTTGTTTGAATTGACTTTATCTATTGATCATTTCCACCTGGTTCATTGGAACGCTTTATACGGTCAGTAAGTTTAGCATTACTATCTTGATATTGGTCTTAAACAAATTCTAATCAATAACTTATTTACATCTATTTTTGAGATCTCTTAAGAGTGATTCTTTGAGTGTACTAAATTTTCAAAGGTTGAAGATTTGTTTTTTCTCTTAAAAGATTCAACTTTTCTTCCATTCTTTGTCTTATCTCCTCTTCGATATTTTCAATTTTCAATTTTAATTGAGTATTTTCATTTCTAACTGTTTCTAAATGAACCTTTTGTGTTGAGAGATTTCTGACTCTAACTTTTTAAGTTGCTCAGCTTGTAACATCATTTCTTGTTAGATTTCTCGATGACGAGCTTCCAACTAAAATAGATTTCTTGGATCTACAACAAAAATACTGCTATTTCTTTGACTTTCTATAAACTGTTTGGTTTCTAAATCTTTTTCCATTGCTAAATTCTTTTTTGCAATTCTATAACTTTCAGATTCGTGTTCAATCTCTTTGATTCTATCACCATTGATTTCTTCTGAAGTATTCAATAGAATGATTGGCGAACCTTAGCACCTGCATTTGAACTACCAACATTCGATTTCATGCTTTTAATCAATTTCTTTGAAAAACCAATGTTGATGGATCTATCCCCTCTATCAGTATGAGAACTCGGTGAAACTTCTGATATACCAACTAGAGTATCATGACCAATGTTGAAAGATTCTTTACTGAATTTATCTTGAAGAATTATAATCTCTGATTTAATATTGTGATTTTCGGATTGAAGATCTTCTTGGGCTAATTCTAATTGTTCTAAAAGTTCTCTCTTCTTTTTTTAATGGTTATGGACTGTTAGCTGATGATGAACCGATAGCTGATAATGTACTGGCTGATGATGATCTGCTATCTGATGATGAACCTTTTGAAGAGTCCTCTGATGCGTCTGAAGAGTTACCTGCTATTATACCTGTTGATCCACTTGTTGATGTGCCACCTGTACCACCTGTACCACCTGTACCACTTTCACCACCCGCAGTAGAACCACCTGTATCAGCACAACCTGCAGCAGCACCCGCAGCAGTGATGGTCCTGAAAAATGTGAGGCGTTTTATTAATTATATGATAATAAGTCGAATTTGGTGATGCTTGGGTGTGACGTTATTTCTTAATGAGGACTGCTTTTGGTTTGGCACTATATTGATTTTTAACTATTAATTATTATAAAATGTTTTAATATTAGCTTTCTTAAAGGCTTCTAATAACTGAGGACTGATTATTGATTTACTGAGTTAATACTATTATTTTTTATATAGATGGCTAATGTTGGGGTACTATATGAGAATAAAGCAATACCAATTAGTTGTGGTCATTTGTATTGTCTTCTTTACAATAAGATCTAGGCACTTGTGAATTAAGTTGAATTAAACTTTTCAATTAAACCATATGTTTAAGTATGGAAAGCGAAAGTTGAAGTTTACCCTTTTCGCTAAAACATTTAAAGAATTTGTTTATTGAAACGACGACTTCATTTTTGAACTTTGAACCTCTATCGGATACTAAATTCTTTTGGGGTCATATTTTAAATATATTTGATAAGCTAAAACTATTGGACTGTTTCACAATTTAAACAATATTAACGAAAGTTGAAGTTTACCCTTTTCCTTATCTAAACTATTTGTGTTCTATAACTGTTGCTTGGGCCAAGGCAAATGTATTGAGATTCATATAAATGGTTGATAAGATTGAATATCTTCATTAGTGTTTAGTTGGATCTAAGTTTTATCTTTTTTTTTGCCAATGTTTTTTTCATACATGATAACTGTGCACTAGCGTCTATAAAAGCTGAACGGTACATCCATTAACGCTTTTGAATTTTTACATGAACTTGTAATTGATTTGAATTTTGCTTTATCTGATTTACTCGAGATTGAAAGACTTTGAAAGAATTTGAGTTTCTGCGACTTTGTGACTTTTTATGATAGTATTTGATATTAGTTTTGGGATTATTATAATATGGAAGAAATATTTCGTGGTTGGAATTATTAGACCAAATCTTTATATAATTGATTAAAATCCTTTCATTCATAATATCGACGACAGCAGATCCTGTTGGAGTATTGAATGGCATGTTTTAATTGTTAAATCTGTCTTTTGAAAAGTTATTTTAATTTATATTAGTAATTCTGTTTCTATTCCTACAACGATGCCATTTTCTATATATATAAGGGTTTGTTGTTGTTTTAAAATAATGTATTGATTTACTTACTTGTTCTCGAAAGGTTTTAAACATATTTCAGTAATGTTATAATTATTATTATTTATTGGATGTGCTAAAGTTTACATTATTAAAATTATTTATGTGTTTGTTTGTTTGTTGTGATCGAAAAAAATAAAATAAAAAAAAAAATTAAAAAAAATTAAAAAAAAAAATTTAAAATGGCAATGATAACGTGTTGATATTTGCTAAAAATTGGGGGTATACTTTTGAAAAGACAGCATATATGAAAATAAAATAAGAGAGTAATTAAATCAGGTATTATTCCCCTACTGTGATAACGATAATTGATAAAAACTGAAGATAATCATAATATTTCAATCACTATTAAAAGCTTAATAAACACTAAAGTAATAGTAATTAGTCACTCTGTTGCAGGAAAACATATTAAAAGTAATAATATTAAAAAGTAAAATTTATATCCAATTAGAGACTACAACGAAAATTGAACCTAATAATATCACCAGCAGTCTTAAATAAAATATTAATTAAACAACAAAGTACTACGATCAAAAAATTAAATAAATAAAATAGTTCTATTTTAATAACATTAAAAAATATACAAATATGCAAATAAATAAATTTTTTTTTTTTAATTAAATATTTTATTTTTCTTTATAATCAAATAAAATATTGTTTATTTATATTAAAATTCTTTTTTTTTTTTTTTTTTAATTATTTTATAAATTAATACTAAATTGTGAAATATTTGGTGATACTAAAGAAGAGTATGGAAATGATTCTAATAAAGAATTTGATATATAAATTAACATATGTTTTTTATATACATAAAGACCAATAGCAAAGGCGGCAATAAAGATGGAACCTGCAACTATAATTGGATAATTGGTACTACCTTTTACATATTTAGCAATAGAATTCATAGCAATAAATGGTAAATAACTATTATTATGAATATTTAAACGACTGATTTCACGTGATTTTTGTTTACCTTCTTCTTCATTTGGTAATTTTATAAATTGAATATGAACATATGATGGTTGACGGCAAAAGAATGGAATTTTAATTGAATGGGCTTCTGGTAATGGGCTGCTAATACTCTTTTTGTTTCTAATAGTCACAATAACATTTTGTGGATCATTTGATTGTTTTTGACAAGTGACTTTGAATGAATTATTATCACCTGGAGTGATTGAGAGTGAGTTTTGTTCTTTATTATCTGATGAAATAAATTTGGAATAAATCTTTGGTTCTAAATGCCATGTCTCTTTACCACCACAGAAAGAAACCTCGGCCGATGAACCTAAACTTAATAAAACTTCCATTTGATCAGCTGGTGGAGAAGCAAAAATACGAATTTCTTCTCTCATTCCATTGTATTGAACTGAAATAACAGTTGAGCCTTCTTTTAGAGCCAAAAATTCACGAGATGAACATATGTCACTTGATATCTTTTGTTGGTCGACCTTTTCATGTGGTAAAATTTTGAAAATGGAATCATCTTTAACTTTCCATTCTAAATTATTAATTGAGCAAGATTCGAAATGAACTCCTTTTGGTAAATGCTTTGATAATAATTTAGTTGAGAGTACTAATTTTTTACCAACTTCGACCTCTACTTGAGATGATGAAAAAACAATTTGGTCTGGTTCTTGAACAATGACAACAGATCCAGCACAATTATTATTACCAATAACACCTTTAGAATTGACATCAACAATGGATGTATTTCCAACTTTTGGATTCCAAATATAAGTTGGAGTTGAGTTTGGAGTATCTATAAAAAAAATTAAGGTTAATATTATCCAATATTTACTTTTTAAAAAAGTTCTATTTTTAGTTAATAATTTATAGTTTATTTTAGTACCTGGAATGCAAAGTGAAGAACTTAGATTTAATTGGGGTGTTACTGGGGTAAATCTTGATAAAAAAAATAATATAACTAAAAATGATAGAAATAAAATTTTATTTACTATCATATTTAGGTTGATTTTATATAAATATATATAAAATATATAAATATATAAAATAATAAAGAAAGAAAAAGTTGAAAAAATAAAATATTGAAAAATGTGTGAATATTATTTAATTAAAATTATAAAAAAAAAAAATATTATTGTGTTGAAAAATTGTAAAAATAAAGCTATTATTTGTGTGAATAAAATAATAAAGAAAAAAAAAAAAAATGTTTTCTTTAATTCAAAAAAAAAAAAAAAAAATTAAAATAATAAAAATTTATTTATTAAAAAGAAAGAATTGTTTAATTTTTTTTATAAAATAAAGAAAATAATTAAAAAAATAATTGTAAAGCAATAATTTAGTTTATATCTTTTTTTATATTATAGATTGATCATTTTTTTTATTTGATTTCGATTTTTTATTTAATTCTCTTTTAAATGATACCCAAAACATTAAACTAACTTTTTCATTTTAAAAAAATGATTTTTAAAAAAAAAAAAAAAAATTAATCAAATTGATTATTTGTATGATTTTTACAACTAAATTTAAGAAATAATATTAGATTTTTTATTTAATTATTAGTTTTAATAAAAAAAATAATTATAAAGTAATTTATAATATTTAAAAATTATAAATATGTGTTTTTTTAAATAAAAAAATAAAGGAGATTTTGATCCATGTTTTAATCCATGTAGTGGTAACAGTAACATTATTAATATTGATATTGATATTGGTCATCGTCGTAAAAGATGCTTCTAAATTTACTCTAAAAAAAAATTATATTTATATATTACCTTAAACTAATTCGAGTAATTCTAAAATAACCTATCTATTTTTGAGATCTCTTAAGAGTGATTCTTTGAGCGTACTAAATTTTAAAAGTTGATGATTTGTTTGTTCTTTTAAAAGATTTAACTTTTCTTCCATTCATTGTCTTATCTCCTCTTCGATATTTTCAATTTTCAGTTTTACAGTAATTGAGTATTTTCATTTCTAACTGTTTCTAAATGAACCTTTTGAGTCAGAAATCTCTAATTTTCAAATTTGTTCATCTTGTAACTTTCTAAGTTGTTCAGCCTGCATCATCATTTTAGTTCTACAATAAACACTGCTATTTCTTTGACTTTCTATTAATTTGGTTTCTAAATCTTTTTCCATAATCCTTAAATTTTCTATTCTCTAAATGTATTTATTGAGATATATTATCATTCGAGGATGCATCCACATTTTCAAATCAGATTAGGGTCAATTTCGTCCAAATAAA